GGCTATTCACAGGCACAATCATAGTGTACTACAGCCTCAAACTCCTAGGCGTAAGGAATCCTCCTGCCTTAGCCTCCTGAGTATCCGGGACTATAGGTGCTGACATGGCACTCAGCTTGGAATTGTTTTATGGCCTACCTATACCCCTAGGCAAATTATCTGAGGCACGACTCTGAAGCTGGGGGTGGGGGCAATGGCAAGCGTCTCTCTAAATGATACCCCTACTTGAGGAGCTGATTATGTGATGGAGACGGTAGACGGTAGCCTAAGTTCTCCTAGATTTGTTTTACTTGGTGTGAAATGACTGCCTTTTGATGAGCTAGGTTAAGGGTAATTGGGGCCCCTGTATTTTGCTTGATGCTTGACCCAAAGATAGAGCCTCCATCCCATGAGTTGGGGGCTGGGTAGAAGAAGGGAGCCCCACTTCATGCCTGCACTTGCTGGAAACTTAGCCTCAGCCCAGATAGATGGGGTCAGATTGAGAAATGCTGTTGTCTAGCTCCTTACAGGGAGAAAGCCCTTTGACTGGGAGCTAAAGGTAGAGTGAACTCTGTGTTCTTGGCTCCAACAGTCTGGGGTGGCATTTTCGCCTTGCTAATCTGGGAAGGGAAAGGGAGGGAGTGGTTTTGATTCAAATACCACAGACTTTTGCTTTTCTTGTTGAGTGTTTATAGATTTTCTTGACTAGATACTTCTTCTTTTGCTATATACCTTTAGGACCATTTCCAGAGACTTTGAATGGTTGTTTTATTATAGCTTTCCCCAGTTTCACTGGGGAACAGTCTACAGGGCTCCTCATAATATCATGCTGGAAGTTGATCTCTCATAATTATTTTTAAAATGTGAAAATTGAACTAAATTTTTAGTTGTAACCCAGGGCTAAATGATTTGAAAAGGGGTAAAATATACCATAGATATTCAGTCAGTTCAATTTGTTTTTGCAATTTGAGCTGCAAGGCAACTCAGAAGCACCAGGAGGTTGTTTTATATTAGAACACAAAGAGCATCTTCATTCCATTTTATAGATAAATAGTATTTCATAGGTCAAAGGGCGTGTGCTTTTGTAATTTTCGTAGATATTGCCAAATTGCCCCTTTTCAGGGGGTGTACCAGTTTATGCTTTCTCAATCAGTGTTTGAGATTGCCTGTTTCCTCTTAACCTTGCTAACAAAGAGTATTATTCAACTATTGGATTTTTGATAATCTGAAAGATTAACAAAAATAAATATAATTTTAATTTTTTTATAACAGCTGAGGCTGAGCATCTTTAAGTGTGTTTAATATATCTAAGGACTATTTGTAATTTTATTCTCTAAACTGTCCTTTGTATATTTTTAAATTTCTCTGCTTTTACGATATTTTAAAAGAACAGTTAATTGAGTTGTAATATGATTTGATATTAAGTGAACTAGAGTAAATAATAAGTCCTAATCAGAAGATTTGAACTAGAATTTCATTGAGTGATTGATGTATCATTAACAGAATTGGTGATGAGAACGGAAAGCTAATTTGAGGACTGTGGTGATGACTTTAGTTGTGGGTATTTTTTCCGTGTTTGATCTTATTAGAGCTATAATCTACCAATTTCGTGTTAACATTTGTAAAAATTAATATATATTATATGAAATCCAGAGTATCTCCTTTTTTTCTTTTTTTTTTTTTTGAGATGGAGTGGCATTCTTGTCTCACAGGCTAGAGTACAGTTGAATGATCATAGCTCACTGCAACCTTCAGCTTCTGGGCTCAAGTGATCTTCCTGCCTCAGCCTCCTGAGTAGCTGGAACTTCAGGTGTGCACCACTGCGCCCAGCTAAATTTTTCTTATTTTTGTAGAGACACGGTCTTGCTATGTTCAGGCTGGCCTTGAACTCCTGGCCTCAAGTGATCTTCCCCACCTCAGCTTCCAACGTGCCGGGATTATAGGCATGAGTCACCATGCCTGCCCCAGAGTATCTTATTTTAAAGTGAAATTCGTTAATACTTATAAGGGCAGGGCTGTATGAAACTAAGTTTGGAAAAATTAGAGTGGACAAATGGGCCTGTGATTCATTTCCATTGTGGTCATAGTTTATGTGATTTTTCAATTCAGTTCTGGAAATATTTACTGTGCCAGGCAGTGTTTTTAGGTCAGTTTGGTACAGGAGAGGTAAACAGGCAAAAATTCTCCTCTTGTAGAGCTTAAATTCTGATATGTGGTTGGGGGAGGCACAGCAGGAGAAAGGCAGAAAGGGAAAGAAAAGGTGTATGTCAGGTGGTACAAGTAAAAGGAGAAAGGGTGGGATGTGCATTTTAGATAGATTGATTAGAAAAAGGCACTCTGGTAAGGTGACATTTTCTCTGAAAGAATTAAGGAACACTCTATGTAAATATCTGCAGGGTATTTTAATTATAGGGAACATCAGGTACAAAGGTGGGCGTATACTTACGGAATAGTAAAACGGACAGAATGGCTGAAGCAATGAGCATGAAGGGGGAACATTGTAGGAAATGAAATCATAGAGAAATGAGTACATATGGGGATGTTATGTCATATTTAAGGACTTTGGCTTTAACTCTGAGATCAGAAGTCATTGTGGGGTTTTGAACTGAGGAGGGACATGTTTTAAAAGAATCACTCTGGTTATTGGCATAGTGAAGATAATAATAGCTAACAAACACTGACTTCTTATGGCTAGATACTCTTATGAGCATTTTAAATGACTCATTCTGAGAAAGGCTGCTGGGTGGTTTATTTCCTTGGATACCATTCACACTGGAGTCTGTGTGCTCATTGTTCCCTGGAGTTGTGTAGTACACAGACTTTGTGGCTCTGTTGGGTGGCCCTGTGCCTGAGAATGGATAAATTACTTTTTAGGGGGAAAATAGAATGAAAGACTATGTCTTGAGCTGTGGAAAAAAATCAGGAAATTGGGACCAAGAAAGGCTGAGAAAGGAAAAACAATTGTGATCAGGGAGATAGAGTGTCAAAAACTGTGGATAGTTTTATAATTAATACTCAGTGGAAAAACCACTGGATCTGGCAAGATAATTGGTGATCCTATATTCGTGATGACATGATGGTAAAGAAAATCTTATTGTTGGTGTTAAGGCATTAGGAAGCTGGGATTTTCCATGTAACATTCGAAAGATAAATTAATAGTTATTTAAAATGCAGGGCATCTTACATAAAAGAAGGCTTCTTAATGCCTGTCTTAAAAATGTTGATTATGCACGGACTTCGGTGGGGGGGGGAACCAAGGGCAACACACGTAACCTAAACATATGTACACCCATAATTTGCTGAAATAAAAAAAATAAAAAAAATAAAATGTTGATTATGATCTGTATAGACATTTTTTAAGTGATATTCATGAATATTTGGTACTAAGATGAGTGTCTAATACTATCAATACAAACTTAAAGCTTCATATATGTGCAGAACTTCTCAAGGCTTTGTTCTTTTTAAAAAATACATTATTATTCTTGGTGCATGTCTAATATGCTAAATATTTTTCTACATGAACATAATTTCATTTTTATTAATTGCTAATTCCTAGACATCTATGATGATTGCTATCAATTTATAAATCTTTTAAGAAATATTTGGGTGAGGGGAGAGTGGTGTCATGAGTTATATATTTACTTTCATATTTTTTAAATATGTTTCTGTTATCTTGCTGCTTTATTGCGTCCTCTGCCATTTCCTTTTTTCAAAAATTTCTTAGCCTCAGTTGATATCTTTTGTATTTCCTAATTTGGTATCTTTTTATCAGAGTATATTTCATGGTCATTTCAGTGTCACAATTTTCTGGAAAATACTGAAAAGTGCTTACATAGTATAGTGGAAAATTCTTTAGGTTTGGATTCAGATAGATGTCATTTCAAAATTCATTTCTACTATTAGCTATGTAACTTTGGGAAATTTGTGTACGTTTTCTAAAGCTTTATTTTCTTAAGTCAAAAAATAATAATAGTACTTTAATTTTTAAAGATTATTAGGAGGATTTGTTAGATAGGATTAGCAGAGTGTTTATTATAGTACCTGGTATATAATAAGTGTTCAATAAATACACTGGCTAGTATATTTAGAATTGATGTGACAGATTCCTTCTTAATATTAATAATTCATTTTGTTTATTTTACTGTCCTTTTGTAAGCATAACTTCAATAAAATGAACAGAAAAAAGAAAATATTTATTAAAGATTTAATGTCTCCTATACGTAGCATAAATTTCTATTTTATGATTTTGTGTGAATTCTCAGAGAATAGTTAGAATTTGGTGAATATAACATTAGTACATGCAATGAGAGTATAACTTTTCTGGTCAGGAAAAAAATATATATTACCAGGTCATACTGAAGGAAATCTAAAGGCTTTCTAGAAGAGTTATATCATGAAGTTATATAATTGAAAGTCTCTGAATCCTAACACTGGTTCTCTAACTCTGAAATCAGCTTAATCTTTGGCAGTGACTCTGCATAGGAAAGTGGGAAATTTTTATAGTTATGTAAAGCACTTGCAGCACTATGTTTTAGATATCAGATTTATTAAGCATTTAAAATAATATAAAAATTTGGCATGCAGTTGTGATTCCTTAAAACATTCTAATGGTTCTTTAACTCTAAAATGACAACTCTTATGTATTAAGTTGTAAGGAAGATAGTACTCTGGACTCTGAGTATGTTGAAAAACAGATGAAACAAATTTTAGAATTTCATTTGTTTATACCAAGAAAAACCAAGTGTAAGAATTTATTATTCTGTGATTAAGTTATATTCAAATCATAATTATTTTAAAACAGTAATGTTCTTTAATTATATAATTGCATGTAGCCTTTATAAAGTTCCTTAGCAATGGGAAGAATTATTCTTTTGTCTAAGTTAGTATTTTTCTTAAACTTTTTGGGTACTTCTGTATTTATTTGGCTTTGCACCTCTGCTGAATGAAATGTTAATAATGTGAAAAAGTTAAATTTTTAGGTAACACATGTTTTATTTGTTTACTTTTTCTCTTTCTATAAGCTATTTGAACTGCTGGGACCTGAAGGACTTGAACTTATTGAGAAGCTCCTCCAGAACAGAATTACAATTGTGGATAGATTTCTTAATTCCTCTAATGATCATAAATTTCAGGCTCTTCAAGGTAAGAAAGTGTCTAGTGGTAATTGTAATTTAAAGAAAGTTTCATTGGTTAGCAAACGTTTTTAATATAATTACACTTTTTGTATCCTTTGATCTATTATATAATTTACTGATACCAGACTGTTAAGTACAGTATAGATATTACAGATTATGAAACAAATACAAGTGACCTAAATAGGAGGGCATTATGGCAATGTTTGGGTATGGCATTTTGAAATTTTTTTTAAAAAAAGAAAATACATGAAATACTTACCATGGACCCAGTAGTATTATAATTTCTCTCCAACTTTTTATTTTGAAAACTTTCAAACCTGTGGTAAAGGTACAAGAATAATACAGTGGACACTTGCATACCCTTCATGTATATTCACTGGTCAGTAACATTTTGCCTTCCCCCGCCCCTTTATACACACACACACACACACACACACACACACACACACACACACACACCACCCCACCCCACCCCACATTCCTAGTCTTTAAATTTTTGCTGACAAATGACAGGAAGTTGCAGAAATCACAATACTTTACCTATAAAATCTTCAGCATACATCTAAGAAAAATGAGTCTCCTAGTTAACTGCAATGCAATTATTATAGTCAGCAAATTGAACACTTACAGCGTCATGTATTACATATATTTAAAAATCCCAGAATAATTAGGGGAAGTTGGCTGGGAAGCCAAAATTGTAAAAAATGCTTGACTTCATCATGGCACAACTGCTGATAAACTTCAGGTTTGAAGTGATAAATAGGAAAACAATTTTTTTTTTTTACCTTTACCCAAATGTTCCTTGCTATCCTTTCACATAGTTGGAGATTTTTTAAAAAGTGTATAAGAAATTAGATACCTTTCTTTAAACTATTCAACATCTGTTCTTCTTTTATGTAACTTATGTCATCATTTCCCTTACATTTATGATTTATAGTACTAAAAGGAAATGATAAAAACAGCCTTGATTTAAATCCAAAATTTCTTACAGATTTTCTCCGTTATTTATTGATTACTAATAAATGTTCTCAGAAGCCTAGAGTTACTTTAAGATTGTTAGAAACTTGGAAGATTTCAGTTAGTGACTTTGTCTTTCTGCATGTCTCTTGGTTCTTTAATTATGTTGAACACTTCTACACTGCCTTCCTCCAACGTGCTCCCAGCTGTTGAATAGTACATAATCAGACAAATTACAGTAAGTCAACAAAGTTTAGGAGCATTTAATATGGGTATCTACCAGAAGAAAAGGAATGAGGCTAAATATCCAGTCCTGTGATGTTGCAAAATTCAGAGAATTTGGTGTTTCATTTGTCGGTCTCGTAAATACTAATATAGAGATATTTACTAATTCCAGCTTTTAATGGTGGTAATTTATTAATACAAAGTTCAGTATGAGTCCAGCTTCGTACATTTATTTGAACACTGTAGATGATGAGTTTCATTTATGTTCATTATGTTTAGTCTACAGATTTTATTATATTAGGATAACTTCTGAGAAGCAACACATTTCTTGACTCAAAATAAATACTAAATTTGAATTATTAAAAAAAATTGAGCTATCAGGCTACCCTGAAATGTTTTCTATTCTTTTCAAACTACTTTTATTCTTTTATTCCATGTTGGATCATTATTAATATTGCTTTCTAAGAATCATAATTATATAATACTATAGAAAATTGGGGCCATTTAAAAAAAAGACTTTAATTTTTACTAAGATCTGTGATAAAGAAGCTGACAACCAGCATATTTTTTAGTAATTTTGTTGGTGTATATGCATTAAAAATTATTTTCCCTAAAGTTTTTTTGGGGAGGGGGAGTAAGGAAGTATTCCCGAAAAAAGGAATCTTTAGACTCTTGTTATTTTATCACTATTTCCACTCATTTATATCTTTTGATATAAATTTTACATTTATTGATCCTTCAAAATTCTATCATAGCTACCAAATTATATTTGTATTCTTTATTAAACAACTTTAGTATGGCATGTTATTTACCACATCCATCCCATCCTTTTCTTTGTTCTCCAAAATCACTGTCTACTCAGTAGAGAGAGGCATCTGTGGTATCAGTGGTATAATTCTCACCTCTCAAAATCACTATTTTAGGAAGCAATGGCTTCTTTTCCTTTAGCATTTTCTAGCTTTCATGCTGATATTCAGTCTTTTAATCCACATACACATCCATGTTACCCTTTCTCTATTCTTATAACCAAGAAATGTAAGGTAGGTCGTAAGTGACTGGGTACAGTGTACTGACCTCTAAATTGAGGACAATTGTGAATTAATTTCTACTTTGAGAGCTGATGTTGAGACTGTTTAGTGTAAGATGTGTTATAAAATTAAAATTAAGTTAGTACATCATAAAGTGACAATGTTTTGAATAGTTATGCAAGACCTTTTCTGTCATAATTACATTCTAAAAGGATACAAGCCTCTACATTGTTCCTCAGTAGGATTTTATGTTAGAATTAAGATTATTCATTTCATTTCTGCTTGTCAGTCTCTACAGTTAGCCTAATCCACCAAGGAGAATCAAACATTTAAACATTTGCAGCTTTACAACTTGATTTTTAAATTACATATTATTTTTAGTCTTACAGTATTCCAGTATATTCTAATTGAGACCTTAAAAAGCTTTCAATGAGATAGACATATTTTCTTCATATAATTATAATTTTCTTATTTAGATGATCATAGCATATATAATAGTATTTTATTGCTATCACATTTGCTTTAAATATTAATGACATTAGCATAGCATAGTATGTCACTCAAAATATTTACAATTTCACACTTAAAATCTTTTTTTTTTTAAATTTCAAAATATTAAGGGGACACAAATGTTTTTGGTTGCATGGATCACTTTTGTAATGCTCGAGTCACACTATAATTGTGCCTGTCACCCGAATAGTGTTCATTGTACCTCTTAGTAGGTTTTTGCCCCTCTTCTTCCTCCCGTTCCCCTCACCCGATGTCCACTGAGTTTAACTTCCTTGTGTGCACATGTGCACTCATCAGTTAGTTCCAATTTAATAATGAGTACATGTGGTATTTATTTTTCCATTCCTTAAATACTTCAGTTAGGATACTGGTCTCCACTTCCTTCCAAATTGTTACAAAGGACATTAATTCAACCTTTTCTATGGCTGAGTACTAAGCCATGGTATACATATACCACATTTTATTAATCGACTCATGAACTGATCGGCACTTGGGTTGATTCCACATCTTTGTGACTGTGAATTGTGCTGCAATAAACATCCGAGTACAGGTGTCTTTTTGATAGAAAGGCTTCTTTTCCTTTGGGTAAGTAACCAGTGGTGGAATTGCTGGATTGAATGGTAGGTCTACTTTTAGTTCTTTGAGGAATCTTCATACTATTTTCCATAGAGGTTGTACTAATTGCAGTCCTACCAACAGTGTATAAGTGGTCCTTTCTCTCTGCATCCATGCCAACTTCTATTGTTTTGGACTTGTTACTAAAAGCCATTCTAACTGGGATAAGGTGATATCTCACTGTGGTTTTAATTTGCATTTCCCTGATGACTAGTGTCTTTGAGCATTTTTCATACGTTTATTGACCATTTATCTATCTTCTTTTGAAAAGCTTCTGTTCATGTCTTTTGCCCACTTTTTAATTGGGCTTTTTTTTCTTTTTCCATGCTTTGGTTGAGTTTTTATAGATTCTGGATAGTGGCCCTTTATCAGATATATAGTTTGTGAATATTTTCTCCCATCCTGTAGGTTGTCTGTTTGCTCTGTTGATTATTTCCTTAGCTGTGCAGAAGCTTTTTAGTTTAATCAAATTCCATTTATTAATTTTTGTTGTTGCTGTAATTGCCCTTAGGGTGTTCTTCATAAATTCTTTGCCTAGACTGATACCTAGAAGAGTTTTTGCTACATTTTCTTCTAGTATTTTTATTGTTTCATGCTTTACATTAAAGTCTTATATCCACCTTGAATTAATTTTTGTGAATGGTGAGAGACCGGGGTCCTGTTTCATTCTTCTGCATGGGGCTATCCAGTTTTCCCAGCACCATTTATTGAATAGGACTTCTTTTCCCCAGCGTGTGTTGTCTTCTTTGTTGACTACAGCTGGCTGTAAGTAGATGGTTTTATATCTGGGTTCTCTGTTCTGTTCCATTGGTCTATGTCTCTATTTTTGTACTGATATCATACTGTTTTGGTTACTATAGCCTTGTAGTGTAGTTTGAAGTCTGGTAATGTGATGCCTCCAGATTTATTCTTTTCCTTAAAATTGCTTTAGCTATTCAGGCTCTTTTATGGTTCCAAAGGAAGCATAGAATTATTTTTTCCTAGCTCTGTGAAGTATGACATTGGTATTTTGATGGGGATTGTATTGAATCTGTAAATTGCTTTGGGTAGTATGGACATTTGAACAATGTTGATTCTATCAAGCCATGAGTGTGATATGTTTTTCCATTTGTTAGTGTCCTCTGCAATATCTTTCCTCAGTGTTTTGTGGTTCTTCTTGTAGAGATCTTTTACCTCATTGGTTAAGTGTATTCCTAGATATTTTATTTTCTTTGTGAAAGCTATTGTGAGTGGTATTGAGTCTTTGATTTGACTCTCAGCTTGACTGTTATTGGTATATAAAAATACTACTGATTTGTGTACATTGATTTTGTACCCTGAGACTTTGCTGAATTTATTTATCAATTCCAAGAGTCTTTGGGGTATTCTAAGTACAAGATCATATCATCAGCAAAACGTGATAGTTTGACCTTCTCTTTCCCGATTTGGATACCCTTTATTTCCTTATGTTGCTTGATTGCTCTGACTAGGACTTCCAGCACTATGTTGAATAGAAGTGGTGACGGTGGGCACCCTCATCTTGTTTCAGTTCTTAGGGGAAATGTTTTCAACTTTCCTCCATTGAGTATGATGTTGACTGTGGGTTTGTCATGTATGGCTTTTATAATTTTGAGATATATTCCTTCTATGTGAAGTTTGTTGAGGGTTTTTTATCATGAAAGTTTGCTGGATTTTGTCAAATGCTTTTTCTATATCAATTGAGATGATCATGTGTTCTTTGTTTTTGTTTCTGTTTATGTGGTTAATCACATTTATTGGTTTACGTGTGTTGAACCATCTTGCATCCCTGGGATGAAGCCCATTTGATCATGGTGAATTATTTTTTTGATGTGCTGTTGGATTTGGTATGCTAGTATTTTATTGAGGACTTTTTTCATCTATATTCATGCGGGTTGTTGGTCTGTAGTTTTATTTTTTTGTTGAGTTCTTTCCTGGCTTTGGTTTCAAGGTGATACTGGCTTCAGAGAATGAGTGGGGAGAATTCCCTCCTTTTCAGTATTATGGAATAATTTCTGTAGTATGAGTACCAGCTCTTCTTTGTAGGTCTGGTAGAATTTGCCTGTGAATCCAGCTGGTCTGGGATGTTTTTTTGTTTGAAGATTTTTTATTACTGCTTCCATCTTACTGCTCGATATTGGTCTGTTCAGGAGTTCTATTTCTTCCTGATTGAGTCTTGTGAGGTTGTGTGTTTTCAGGAATTTGTTCATTTCCTTTATGTTTTCTAGTTTATGTGCATAGCAATTTTCACAGTATTCACAGATGATGTTTTGTATTTCTGTGGTTATCAGTTGTAATGTCTCCTTTTTCATTTAAAATTTTTAACATTTATTTCTCATAGTAAGTACATGGCATAATTTACATTTTAAATCTTCTGCTTAATATCTGCATTTCTGATTGAGTGACTTTGTAAACAAGCTTACTTTTCTTTTAGTTCGGAGTACATGTGAAAACTGTTGGAATGTTGCATTCTTTTTCTGACACTGAATGTTCATTATAAGTTCCATTATTATACTAGATGTATAAGACTAACTTAGAAATAATTCATATAAGACTCACTTAGGAAAATACTTTTTTTCAGAACTGTGAAATTTCGTCCTAATATAGATGGGAATTATATCTTCTTTCATGATTTTGAGATATACTTTCCTTTTTAAGGCTATAAAGCCATTATACAAGGGTATTATTTCCTATGATTGCGAGTTAAATGACTTATTCAAAATCGTGTAATGAGATAGTGATAAATTTCTTCTGTGAAGATTTGACATAGAATGAATTAGAGAGCTAATCTTCCCATCTTGGTGCTGTGTTTAATTCCTTCTTTGTTCTGTGTTGGATCTTGAAATTTGATAATATAACTTGCTCTGTGCTCCATCAGAATATGTACTAAGTCTCGTTCTTCATTGTATTTCTAGCCTACCACCAGTGCCTACATCCAAGTAGATCCTCAATATAATAAATGCTTATTGACAGGGATTGCTTCAGCCACATTCTTTTTAGTTCCTTTAGGGTTGCAGTAAGTCAAAATACTTCTGCTTACAAAGATTTAACAAACATAAAAGATAATCCCTTTGGAAGATAATTTTTGCTGAGTATTGAGTTGACCAAACCACAGACCTAAATTGACTTTGTGAACATTGGGTTTTAATTTGATCTGGTTCCCCTTAGTGGTTCTGGCCTTCTTTCAGTTTTTTTGTTTGTTTAAACTGTATTTCTGTGAAAAGGTGGACCATACTTTTTCTTTATTTGCTTTGGTCATTATCTTAAATATGTCCTGAGCTAATATTAATAAATTTTATTTCATGTATAAATAAATAAGTGGTATATATGCAACTTAACAGGAGTAAGGACTATTACATAGGAAAAAGTTATATTTAACATGTAAAGAGTTTATTTTATTATTATATTAACAGTAAATGCTAATTAGCATTGATAATTATATTTATTGATATTATATAAACAAAAATTATTTCAAAATTATGAAATTGAAATTTTAGGTTCCTGATGTAATATGTAGGAATTTATACTGTAACATTAAACTGTTTAGTCTGTAGGAAGAAAATACTGTTGACTTTTCTTAAGCTGCAGTGTAATATCATTTATATATTGTGATAAAAAGATCTCCTTAAAACACATTTTATGTGTTTATGTTTCGGTAGGGATAAGAAGTGGTTTTCATGAAGGTTAAATAATGTTAAGATTTGTGAAACATTATGTTTCTTAAATTTGCTTTGTAGACAATTGTAAAAAAATTTTAGGAGAAAATGTTAAACCCAATTATGGTTGTCAAGTCACTATTCAGTCTGAACAAGAAAAGCAGTTAATGAAACAATATCGCCGTGAAGAAAAAAGAATTGCCAGACGAGAAAAAAAGGCTGGAGAAGATTTAGAAGTTTCAGAAGGACTTATGTGCTTTGATCCTAAGGAATTGAGGATACAGAGGTAATGAAAACCAGAAGCTGAAAAATGCTTGTGTTGTAATTGCTACTTTTACATATCATTATCATTTTTTAGTTTAGTTTTAGCAATTTAGGTGATTCTTACTTCTAGTCACGTTTTCTTATAAGAAAAGAATTTTGTTATATGAAAATCTAATTTTCTGGGCTAAGAAAGCAATGATCTGCTTAATTAGAATATTCTTGGTTGCATTCACGTAGATGAGAGATTTAGAATATAAAGGTAAGCTATTTTTAGGTGCTGTGCACACACCATTAGGCTAAGATTTATAAAAGTTACATAAAATTATTTGAAACTTTTGTTTTCTTTCTAAGCGTAATGATTTCCATGTTATTAGTCAGAAGTAGAAAGAAGGAAAATTAAATAAAGGCATTACTGCACTTCATTCTTTAAATATTGAAACTGTCTTTTAAAAAAGAATTTATGCCTTGTTAAATAAACATCTTTGAATTGTGAAAAAACAAAATTATAAATAAAAAACATTAAGTCAAACTTATCGGATGATGTTTTCTAAAAGTTATATCTAAAAATGTGCTAATTTCTGACTCGTTACCCAGAAAATTTCAGGATTTCTAATGTCTTTGTTTGCCTAGTTTAATTTCTTCTCTTTTATGATGGAAGGCTACCTGAAATAGTTATTATAATGACCTTGTTTTAGTGTATGGTTTCCCTTTTAAGATAAAGATTTTAAATTTGGCCTATTATTTTTATATTTTCAGAGAACAGGCACTTCTGAATGCTAGAAATGTTCCAATTCTGAGTAGGCAGAGAGACATGGACATTGAAAAAATACGTTATCCCCATGTTTATGATTCCCAGGCTGAAGCCATGAAAACATCAGCATTCATTGCTGGTGCAAAGGTATGTATGGCATTGATATGTTACCACTTTTGGATAATATGTCTATTCTGAGGAAATGACATTTGGATTTTCCCTGTTTTCTTTGTGAGTCTAGTACTAGTTGACTAGACTATTTTAAATTTTATTTTAAAATATTGGGAGACGTGAGATAAACAATGTGAGTGTATATAAAGCTCCTGACTATAGTAGGTATTCAGAACATATTTGTTTACCTACTTTTCATTATTTTTGCAATTAGTATTTTTGAGTTTTATCAGTGGCATCGCTGTTTTACTAAACTTTACCTGTATATTACACATTTTCCTAGTTATATGAGTACATTTGTCTTCAGGAATACCATCTAATTAATGTATACTTAAACATTCATCCACATACTATGGCCTTTGTGTTATATGAGATGTGTGATACATGAATGCTTTGTATGTGTGTGGTTTTCTGTGTTTTCTTGTTTTTGTTTTATTTGGATTGTTTTTCTTTGAATTAGCTACATTTATTTACCAGTGCTATGTCATAAAACCAGTAGTGTTCTCTCTCTCTCTCTCTCTTTCTTTAATTGACTCTTTACAAGAGCAAATGTTTTATTTTTTATTGTTGTTGGATTTTTATTTTTGATGTTTATAGATGATTTTACCAGAAGGAATCCAAAGAGAAAATAACAAGCTTTATGAAGAAGTAAGGATTCCCTACAGTGAACCAATGCCAGTCAGCTTTGAGGAAAAGCCAGTTTATATCCAAGACTTAGATGAGGTGAGATGAGCTTTTATATAGTTGATATTTTTGAGGTGCAGTTGTGTTATAAATGGATTTATATTAGAAAAATTATTTTTAAATATTAGTGGTTGGCTAATGCAATACAGAGACATATACAGTTAGTTACTAAAGAATTATAATAGGGCAGTTTAAATTTAAAAAACTCACATATATACATATATTCCTTTATACATTAAACATATTTATGTGTGTATTTGTGTGTATGTATCTCTATATTTCATGTTTATTTTGGTTATTTCAGCTAATTTTTTGGTGTAACTTATGTAAACGGACTTAAGTAAAATGTCTTAAAGGATTCATCTGTTGCATTGATTATATCAAATGGTCAAGGTATAATAGAATATTTTTCTGGGGATAAATTCTAATGTATTTTTAAAAATTTATTTTTTCCTCACTTTTAAAATTTTGAATAATTTCAAACCTACAGAATTGCATGAGTAGCAGTATCCATATTTACCCTTCGCTTAGGTTGACTATTTATTAAAATTTTGTCACGTTTGCTTTATCTCAAAATATTCTTTAACTTAGTTTAAAATATTTTTAACCTTAGTTTAAGGTATACATATTATTTAAAGTTAATCTTTTCCATCATCAACATGAAGTTGCTGGGGTTTTTAATATGGAGTCAGTCATTCAGATATATGAAATAATGCAAGTAAGCAAAAAGAGCAGCATAAAGCAGCTTAGCATAAAGCAGCATAAAAAATACCCAAAGCCAACGTAAATTAGTTCCATTCTATACATGTGTACATATGTATTTTCTTTTACAAAAATGTAATTACATCATACATACTGTTTTCTTTGTGTGTGCATGTATATATTAAATATATACTTACATACATCTTTCTGTGTCAATAGATGTATTTCTGCAGCATCATTTTATCACAACAGAGTATTCCATTTTATGCCTTTATTACTTTTAAACTAACTCTTTATTGTTACAATTTTAAGTTGTTTTTTACAATAAGTTTTTATGATAGAGTAAAATTTTAATTTTGTTTATTTTTATAGGAGTAAAAGTTTTTCTGAATGTGTTAAATCCCTCTATAACCTTAATATCCCTTTGCCACGTACCCTAATATTAAATATATTCACAGATTCTGTGGATTAGAATGTTAACATCTTTGCAGCCAGTGGGTGGGAGGTGGTGTTCAGTGTTCTGCCTATCACTTATGATGTGGATGATCATTGTTTAACTATTCACTCACTGAAGGACATTTGTTTTGTTTATACTTTTGGAGATTATGAATTATGTTAATGTGCTTGGGCTGCCATGACAAAACACCATAGACTAAGTGGCTTAAATAACAGAAATTTATTTTCTCACAGTTCTGGAGGCTAGAAGTACCAGATTAAATTGGTGCCAGATGATTTAGTTTCTGGTGAGGACTTTTTTCACTTTCTTCCTTCTTCCTATGTCCCCACATAGCTACTTCTTTTTGTGTGCGTGGAGAGAGACTTCTGGTGTCTCTTTCTTTTCTTATATAGTCACCAGCCCTGTCAGTTTAGGATCCAACCCTAATGACTTCACCCCGCATAAAATCTTTTCTTCAAATATAGTCATATTGGAGGTTAGGGTTTCAACATATGAATTTTGAGGGGGCATAGTTCTGTTCATAGCATGGAGAAAGCTGTTATAAACATTGGTGTGTAGGTTTTTGTGTGAACATAAGTTTTCATTTCTCTGTGATAAATGCCTAGCAGTGTATTTGCTGAGTCATATTATAGTTGCATGTTTAGTTTTTTAAGAAACTACCATTGGTTTTTAGAGTGACTGTACCATTTTATAGTCCCACCAGCAATGCAGTATGATCTGGTTTCTCCATATACTAAGCAGAATTTGGTGTTTTCACTATTTTTTAATTTTCATTTTAGCCACTTATATTTTAATATATTATTTATATTTTTATTTTAGCCATTATGATTGTATGTAGTGATTTTTTTCTTGTTTTAATTTGCACGTTCGTAATGACTAACAATAATTGGGGAATAACACATTCAAATTCAGTATGTCATTATATATAAATAAGTAAACTATTTGAAGTCATATCACTGTAGATATTGATTCTGCCAGATGTCATAGCTAGAGTAGTAATAAAAACCTCAGGAAAGAATGTAAATGTTAACAGAATGTCAGATAGTTTAGTAGATGTTTCTTTTGACTTGGATCTCTTTTATACTGGGTAGAATCTTTCATGTGTCAGAGAAAGTGCTATTGAATATGGTGGGTGGTGTCTCTCTTTTTTCACTGAGATTATAATTGCATGCTATTCCTAACTGTCCTAAAATGCTTTTATGTCCTTTTTCTGACTGAATGTCACATTGGATAAATTTGTTCTGTTTTCTTAAAACCTCTGTAATTTGATTAAAAAGCTAAGGATAATTTTAAAATTCTGTGCAAAAGTACCGTTAATGTCATTAAATAAGTTTTGTACTTTCTTGGAAAGGGAATTATCCAAAAAATTCAGATGGATCTCTGGATTTGTCCAGAGTCACTCAATTGGAACTTACAGAAATCAAAATCAAAGCAAGCAAAGAAGACAATTTATTGGCTTTTCTACGTAGGCTGTCCAGGAATATAGCTGCCTATGTTCCGGGTTTGGATATATAGGTTCAAATGATGTCATTAGATCTTTTTCTATGTCTTTGTTTTTTTTCTGTCTCTCTCAATCTTTTTCTCTATTTCCTTTTCTTCACTTTCCTTCCCTCTTATATTTTCCTTTCTTTCTTTTACCCACCCCCTTTTCATTTCCCTCATTCTTTTTGTTTTTTTTTTTGAGACAGTGTCTTGCTCTGTCACCCCAGCTGGAGTACAGCGGCATCATCATAGTGCACTGCAACTTCCAACTCCTGGGCTCAAGCGATCCTCCTGCCTCAGCCTCCCAACTAGCTGGGACTACAGGCACACATCACCATGCCTGGCTGATTTTTTCTGTTTTGAGTAGAGATGGGGTCTCGGTCTCCTTCTTGCTCAAGCTGGTCTCAAACTCCTGACTTCAGGTGATCCTCCCACCTCGACCTCCCAGAGTGCTAGGATTACAGGCGTGAGCCACCGCTCCCAGCCTTTTTCTCTCATTCTTTTCATCCCCTGATTCCTGGATAGGCTTTTTCCATATAACCAAGGAAAAATGTATGCAGCAGCTCCAAACACAACTGTTTCCCCATACTCTAATCCCATAAGCAAGGGAGTTTTTTCCCACAAGTTCTTCCAGGAAAAAAAAATTTCCCAGATTGAACTCTGATATTCCTGACTTAGGGCACCAGTTTATTTCTGAACCAATTCCTTTTCCTGTGGTGGGAATGTGGGGTTCTTACTGACCATGGCTGCTCAGTTGCATATCCTAATTGTCAGCTCCCCATGAGCCACCAGGAGTTAAGAGGAAGCTTCCCAAAGAAAAGCAGGGTGCCATCATTACCCCTAAAAGAAGGATGAAAAAGAAATAAAGAAGAAAAAAACTATGTCTTTGATATTTTGGGTGAAAACTTAGGCTAGCTTTTTTGTTGGTGTTAAATATGTTGATGTCTCTTTGCACAGTTGGCAGTTACATATTTTAGGAGTCAGTAGAGTGTTGCTCAGCAAAAATGAACTACTGACCCAAATATAATACTTGACTTGGAAAGCTAATATAAAAGATGCATATAATCTTTGATTTGAAAAGGTAAGAAATTGAGTCTTATAAAATCTGATTGTAGAGAATTTGAGATTAAGATTTTCTGTGAGCCCGTCTTCTTGCATCCTGTCCTTATAGTCTAAGTACTGGGGACAAAAGAATAGGATATTATCCCTGATCAGTTACTCAGTGTAGTGTATCTGATCCATTCCCATGGAAATAACTGGTATAGTAGAGGTATATTGTACAAAGTTCTATGGCAGCACAGAGAAGGCAGATTAAAGAGAACAGGAAAGAAGCTTTCATGGAGGTGTATTTTGTTTTTTTGTTTTTGTTTTTTGAGATAGAGTCTTGCTGTGTCACCCAGACTAGGGTGCCATTGCATCAGCCTACCTCACAGCAACCTCAGACTCCTGGGTTCAAGCAATCCTCCTACCTCGGCCTCCCAGAATGCTAGGATTACAGGCGTGAGCCGTGGTGCCTGGCCATGGAGGTGTATGTTAAAGGCATAGGATTTTGCCAGATAGACAAAAGGGATGGGGCTGTATATCAGGCAAAGGATGCTGTATGAAATATTTTGTGACCTTTGGGAAACAAGTACTTCAGTCTTATTAGCATAAGTATGTAGGCTGTATTTGGAGAGTCACAGCAATTGAGTCTAGAAAGAGACTTAATAGCCTGCATGTGAAGAGCTTTGAAAACCATGCTAAGAGATTTAGACTCAATGTTATGGGAAACATTACTTCTTAAAAATAGGAGAGTAAATGGTCAAATTTTTTCACTGAGAGGGATTACTCTGGCTACAACACAGATTTGAAGGTTGAGAGAAGAGCTGCTGAAGTAATTCAAGGGAGAAATGGTATAAGCCTGAATTAAGAAAGTGGAGGCCTATGTAAAGAAGAAGACAACTGAGAGAAATTTAACTACTAGTGTATATAATACCTGATGACTGATTAAATAGAAGGGGATGAGACAGAATCTAGAATGACATCCAGTTTTGAGCAACATGGGTGAGCAATAGTGCCATTTATTAAGTTACTTCCATCCTAACTTCCTTAATACTGTTGTAATGTATCTTAGTTTTATCTTGTTTTAGTTTTTACACCAAATGTTATTGTTATTACTTTATAGTCAATAGTAATTTGGATTTACCTTTTATTTTGCCCAGTGTTTTTAAATTTTTAATTTTTTTTTTTTTTTTTTTTTACATTCAATGTCAAGGCTTTATTTTGAAATTCTGTTCCGGATGCCACTCCACAGCATACAGCACACCTTCCTTCACACTTGAAGGAAAAAAATCCTTAAGAGTTCACCACTTTTGGGTGTTATTATTTTTAGCATAAGCTTTTGTTCTTCTATAAGAAGTATCTCTCTGGATTCAAACCACAGAAATGTCAATGAACATTATTTCCATTGTAGAATTATTTAAAAGTCACCCACAAATTCAAATTTGACATGATACATTGATAGTTTAGACTCCTTCTTCACCAGTCCCATGTGACTGCACTTGATTCAAATGTTTGGTAGAGGTGGATTTTAAGACTTGAAATATTCCATGAGATACAACATTCATTCACACTGGGAATTACATTTCTGGGGTAGTCTTTTAAAAAGTCCATTATTAACTTTTATCTCCAAGAGCTATTTTCTTCTTTCTGTTCTGACTAGTGCCCTTTTTCCGTTTATCCTTAGTTTTTTCTAAGAAATATTTTGGAGTTGTACTAATGCTTTCCCTTTCCAATGGTTTCTTAATCATCTTTTTCTTTTGTTTGCTTAATAGTTTTTGGAAACCTTTTATGTATTCCGGTACAGGACACCCAGCCTGCTGTATAACATTGGCAATACTTCTTAATAATGGTTTATCATCTTTGGTGAAAAATGTAGCAGCTTTTCCCTTATGCCCTGCTCTGCCAGTTCGATCTATCCTGTGGATATATTCCACTGAGCTGGTTGGAAAGTCATAGTTGATCACCAAGTTCACACCTTTAAAGTCAATCCCTCTCACTAGCAAGGCTGTATAAATAAGAACCCAGATTTTTCCTGCTCTGAAGCTGTGGACTGTGTTCTCTCTCTCTCTCTGTTGCCATGTTCTCTCTGCATGAATAACATCCACATTAATACCTTCATCTATGAGCTCATGAAAAAGTTCTTTAGTTCTTTCAATGGACTGAACAAAAACAAGAACAGGTGGATTGAAACCCTTTTAAAAAAATTCTCTCATGGCCAGAAGTTTTCCAGTTTCAGACCCAACAAAGAGAAGCTCTTGTTCTGCAGTCTCTAAAGCAGAATTCCTTGCTCCAATACTTACGGTAATGACGTTGTCCAGGTTGAGTTTGCACCACTGTTCAACATCAATATGCTTTCATATTCTGTCACTTTTTATTTCCTGAAATTTCTTTGAAGTAAGAATGTGGGGGTGGCAAAAAGCTCATAACTTTTGTTGATCTAAATTGCCTTCCCTATTATTCTTGAAAGATAATTTTGCTTGTGATATAATTCTAAGTTCACAGTGATTTTCTCTTAGCATATTAAAGATTTTGTTCTATTTGGTTTTTATTTTTTCTTTTGAGAAGTCTGCAGTCAATCTAATTGTGATATGTTTTAAGGTAAACTTTTCTTTCTGGCTGCTTTTAAGATCTTTCCTTTGCCTTTGGAAGTTTGGAGTTGTACTGTGATACCATGATTTTAGATATAGCTTTCTTTTTAACTTTTTGTTCATCTTCCCATTCTATTGTTTGCCTGACATCAGCATCCAAA